ATAGTTGATAATATTAAGATAATAATATCTGTTCCATCTTTCCTTTGAGTTGCAGTATGTATAGCATGAGCTGAATGTGGGTATGTATGCATGCATGTATGAATATTCTTTGTAAATTACATAGTAAACCAAAGAAACATATTATGATTTCTGGACCTGGTCTCAATTACTGCATCCTATATGATAATATATGGCTTCAAGAAACACCTGGCTATACAGAGATGCATTACTTGGATGTTTCCTTTAAATGTTTTTAAACAGCATATCCTCAAATTTTTTGTACACTAAGATATAAAATCCCAGGGTTTTGTGACATTTCTTTGATGTGGGAGAAGAAAATAACACAAGAAATCCTACCTAAGAAGGAATCAGAAACATCAAAGCAGATAAGTACAGTGTGAGAAAAAATGTCCATCCCCCAAACATGCTGACTAGAAATTTGTAGTGTCACAAAGTAATGGTATCAACCACATTTTTCCAGAACAAAATCTAAAGGCAGGGCTATGAACAAGAAAAAATAAGCTGAGCAGAAAAACTGGAAGACTGAATTAGAGATTTGATCATGTCTACTCCGCAACTAATTTTAAATATTGTTTTGCATCATACTTAAACACAAAAATATATATGCCAACACATGCAGACATATACATATCCGATACACCCTCCCATACACCAAAGAAATCTTAATAATAAAGTATATAAACTTGTTTTCTTAATGAAAGAATATGAAGTAAATAAGAACCAGATAGCATACCTAGTACCCCCACCTGACACACTCTATAGGCATAAGTTGTGATGGCGAGAACCTCATCCTCATGTTAATTGGGTCAAGGCCATATGTCCTTCATTCCAAGAGAAGTTAGGAAAACACTACGCTAGAAAATATTTGTTGTTTTAGTCACATGATGACAGACATACATTTAATTTTTTCATTAACTTAATAAAGCTATCATTAAAAAATTTATACCATGTAAAGAGACCAAACTAGAAGGTAATACTCCAGTCAAACTACTAGAGAATACAAAAATAAAGATCTAGGAAACCATGTGAGTAACTGGTAGCAAAAGCTTCTTAGTTTTTGCTCCTTTAGCATCATGCTTCCTAATTGTTCTTTATTTCTTCATTCCTTCTGGGGTTTCTACCCATTCTCTCTGAAATGTAGCTTTTTGGTAAATGATGATGATGATGATATCATGTTTGGTTTGAGACAAAGACGAGTAAGAAATCTTCAAGCATACCTACATTTTTTTTTCTTGTTTATTTCTGAGAGAGAGACAGCCTGATCAGGGGAGGGTCAGAGAGAGAGGGAGACACAGAATCTGAAGCAGGCTCCAGGCTCTGAGCTAGCTGTCAGCACAGAGCCCGATGCGGGGCTCGAACCCACGAACCGTGAGATTATGACCTGAGCCGAAGCCGGACGCTTAACCGACTGAGCCACCCAGGCGCCCCAAGCATACCTACATTTTGCCCTTAGTCTTGGGTAAAGCACAAAGCTCATGAGGGATATCTTTAAATATAGAAATATACTTTTTCCTATAATTTTATTTCTGTATGATAGTCTCTGAATCAGAAGATAGTATAGCAGCACCATACTTTGGGGGTAAACAATAGAATAAGTCCACATAACATTATTTTTTGGTTTGCCTATTCCCAAAAGTTACTTTTACTGAAAAAGGAATATTTAGTAAAGAGTCTTGTCTACACCTTAAAAATCAGTACATGATGGCAGAGTCTACTGTGAACTTTCAGCTTGCTTAATTAATTGCTTGGATCACTTCACAGTTAATTAATATAGACTCTATTGTGAAAATGCCTGAGAATCCCCAAGGAAATAGCCTGTATGGCTAGGTCATCAGCATGAAGGGCAAAAATCAGTAGGGGGTGTATAGAACTGAGACATAAAAACAGGCTTTTCTTCATTTAGGTAAAGAACATAGGATCACTCCCCAAATAAAAACTGCCTCATATGGTCCAAAAATACGAGTGTCCGGTTTTTTAGCTTTGGTACAATTGATTTTCAATGACTGTCCTACTTTTCACTTTGTGAAGTTCAAATATCATATTGGAAATATTTAGGGCTCACCCAATATTCCAGGTGCTCCTCTACATTCCCTAACACCCCCACCAGACCCTCTAGGTATGAGGGTTTGGGTCACCATCCCAAGTAAAGAATGCACTAGCCTTGGCTTGCTAGTGCCTGCTGAAGCCAAAGAGAATATAGAATAAGAAGGAGAAGAAGGCAATTATAAATACTAGCTACAACCACATAACCAGTTACAGAAAGAAGAACTGAAATTGTCAAGAATATTTCCTCTTTATTTTGTTATGAATATGTTTGGCGGTAGCATGGGTGTGTGTGTGTGGCACAAGTATATACATTTAAGCAAGTAACTATTTTCTTTCTCTTCTTATTCCCTTACCATGTAACATAAGGTATATGGATTTTATATCATAGTGTTTAAGTATTGTTAACCTTATATCATACTTAAACTTCAGGATACTGAGGAGAAGAGTACACCTCACTCATAGATTTTACATCCCTTTCTGGGGAAGAGGATATGTGTTTTGGGTTGTAAGCAGGTTTGTTGTATTAGATTTGGTAGAATACTGATCTTGTTATTGTCTGTATTTGAAGGTTAAAGAGGTGTGTCTAAGTGCCTCATTGACAAGGGGAAGATGTCTTAATTTTATGTGTCAACTGGACTAGGTCATGAGGTGCCCAGACATTTGGTCAAACATTGTTCTGGGGTTTTCTGTGAATGTGTTTTTGGATGAGATTGACATTCAGATTCCTTAAGTAGACTGAGTAAAGCAGATTGTTCTCTCTAATGTGAGCGGGACTCATCCAATCAGTTGAAGGCCTAAACAGAAGCAAAGGGTTGACCCTCCCCTGAGTCAGGGAAAGAATTCTTCCTGCCTGACTGTCTTTAAACTGGGACATGTTTGTTTGTTTGTTTGTTTGTTTGTTTTTCCTGCATTTGGACTAGAACTAAACCATTAACTCCTCTGGTCTCCAGCTTGCTTATTCAGCCTGCAGATCTTGGGACCTGCCTGCCTCCATAATCAGGTGAACCAATTCCTTATAATAAATTGATAGACAGACACATAGATAGATAGATAGATAGATAGATAGATAGATAGATAGATACATAGATAGATACATAGATAGATAGATAGATAGATAGAATGATAGAATGATAGATAATCAATCTGTATCTTATTCATTCTTTTTCTCTGGAAAACCCCGACTACCGATTTTGCTACCAAGAGTGAGGAACCTCCTCTATCCTTTCCTTCCTTCCTCTGTTTCAGTGAACATGGAAGTCATGGCTTCCACATGGCATGACAAAATGGAAGACATCTGGTCTGCAGCAGACTTCACCTGAGAAACAAATCTTTATAATGGCACATCACCCTGACAGCTACCACCAAGTTTCTTAACCCCATATTTTGAGATCTCAGCTTCATTCTATGTTTAGGACTCCGAGACTAAAACTAAAATAGGCTAAAATGTATAACCCCACATATTAGGCCATATCATTTGATAAATACAAGTAAACCTACAATGAAATCAATAAACCAATATTGTTTGGTTCTATCATTGTTCTCGTGCCTGCAGAACCACCAGGCTCTTTATGGTCCCCAGATGCTGGCCAGGACATCCCCCAAGGAATGCTACAAGTGTTGTTTGCAACTCAAGCCAAACTATCAGCTATAGCATACATGTGGTGCCCATCATGTTCTACTTCTGCTCTGGATCTCGCTTTTGAAGAAGGATGCCTAACAAAGCACTTAAAGAGCCTATTCATTGCTGCTACCTTGATGACGTTTGCAACAGGAAGGCTGCCTCTCAGTGCTGTCAAGGCTGCAATGTGGGTTTTTCAGAAGAGGTGGATAAGAACTGACTTCTCCTATTCATTTGCTCTTTTCGTCTTCCGGATCCCCAAACAGAATGGGTATACACAGATTCCCAAAGTCACTCATCAAAATAGCTTCTCCGACACTAAATGATCAAAGACAATAATAAAGGTTAAAGGAACAAAAGCTATGCTATGCCTCTCCATTTATGTCCCTCTCTACTCTAACAAAATTGCTTCTATTTTCTTGATTTAGAAAATAAAAGCCCACGTATAGTTCAATGAATGCAAATACATACTAACGGATGATGTAGGCCAATATAAGGAAGAAAATTCTCCTTTTACAAAATTAAAAAGTTAAAAGCTATTTTTTCACTCACGTGACTTGCAGAAGACATAACTCTTTTTCCTAATTACTCTACAATTTATCCAATACCTCTTTATCCCCGAGTATCACCCTGGTGAGCTGCTTCTCCCCTATCCTATGAGCATTCAAGGACATATCAGGAGATGTACACTACTGCCTAGTCATATGGACAGATGAAGCTATCTAAACAGTAAGAGTAAATTACAAAAAAAAATTTTTAATAAAAAAATCAAATAGTGATATTTAATGCCCTCAAACGTCAGAAAACAGCACAACATTAATTATGTCAATTGTGATTTGTAATGGTTCAGGTCAAAGTAATTCCAAAGGAAAAATAAAAACTGCAACAGAGGGAACTGATTCTATATACAACCTACTATAAATTTTTCCATGAAATAGTTATAATGATTACATTTTTGTCTATTTTTATTGAAAAGATAATGTCATCCAGCACTCAGGAACACTTAATTATGTGAAAGTGAATCCCTTCAGAAAAATATTTTAATTAAGATAAAATCATTCTTTTTTCCCCAAATTTCTAAATAATGCCATTATACACTAATGATATATATGATCTATTTTCCAGAACATATATTTATTTTAAAAAAAAAACCAGTATGTTAATCCTCATTATTGCCATGAATATGAAACTTATACTTGAAATATTGATGTTTTCTTTTATGCGTTACTCTCCAGTTAGTAATAGCAGCGTGCTAGAGAGGATAGCGATGTGGAAATCAACATTTCTCTAATGGTGTTCTTCTCAAAGGACTTACCAGATAACTTAAAGCACAGTGAGCCTTCTTTCACGGTTTTCTCTCATTTGCTATCAAAAACCATCAAGCATCAGCACCTGCACAAAAGATTAGGAATGATAGAATTTCTAGGAGCTCATTTAACAGGAAAGTACACAGTGACAAGACAACACGACATATTTTTAAAGCGGTTGCTTAACTAGTTATAATTGTTTAGATGGCCTCTCCATGCTACCATATTGTCATCTGCTAGCTCCCATCTTTTACTTTTAAGAGAAGATGTGGGTCTTGAGACCTGATGTCAGCATTTGGTTCTGATTCGGTATTAATGTTAGAATCCAGTGTTCTAGGAAAGTCTTGTTATTCTGATTGATTACTTCACCTCCAAGATACTACAGGTCAGTAGGTGTTTTACTGAAGTAAATCTTGAGTATTCAGATTTTTAAAAAATTCCTATATGTGCTTTTGTGAAATTTCTTTCACTTTTAGAAACTGTGAGGTTTTAGAGTAGGCTTTCAGATCTTTTTTCACATTCTATTAAAAAAATCCATACAATTTTTTTTTCACTTGACTTTGCTTGCTCTTTTTTTTCCTCCATGTATTTACCAAGACAGGGCAATCTAGAGTATATTTCTATTTATGGACTAAACTGATGATCTTCATTTTTGTTCTGAACTGTACTGAAAGGAATAATTATCTCCACTGGGAAAACTAGTTACTGTTTTGGGACAAGCTATTCCCTGGTTTCACTTAAAATAGTAACAGTATGATTTGCTTAAGATGTGTTACAATATCCATGGCAGCAGTGTTCAATATCTTTAAAATTAAGGGGGCAGTGGTTTAAGCATGCTATAGAAAAGTTAATGACCATTTTTCAAAAGTAGATGGTAAAATGAGAACTTAACAAAACAGGGCAAATAACTGGAACACATGTACATTTCTTAAATCAGTTCTAAGAAAGGAGAATTGATACATATTAGTTACCTTTTCTCAATACACTTTAAGAGAAAGTGACATAAAGAGATTTGGTTTTGTTCCCTTTACCAAATGGAAACAGGGTGGCCTTACATGGTCAGTTGAATGGATTAATGAAAAGAACTGAGATGGTAAAAATGCTAACCACTCTTTACTCAATTAAGAAGTATCTATATAAAAGCCTGCCCAAAGTAGATATGCATTAAGCTTTCAAATGCCACTAGCTCCCAGCACAGCACTGAAAGATTTATGAATTTAAAGAGTAGAATTCAGGATGTGGAAATTAATTCTGAGAGAATATCAGAAGTTGAATTTTATACACATACATAATGCATACATATATGTGCATATATAGACACGTACGTGTCTGAGAATAAAGTAAAATCTGTGACTTTCCAACTATAATTGGTTAAATCTTGCTCCATTTTATCTTTTTTCTAGACCTTTCCTTTATAGCTTACTTTAATCAATATTTATGCTGAATATTTTATTTAGAAGTTTTATGTTTATAGAAAAGCACACTTGATTATGAAAACATTGATTTTATGTCTTGCTCCCTAATCTATGACTAGGCAGATGAATGGTAAAGTTAACTCACTCTCCCAAATGGTTATAAAATTTGTATTTCAGGCACAGTTCCAAGAGGTCATGGCTTGTTTGAAGACTTAACATATTTTCATGCAGATATATTGCAGAAACCACCCCCTAAATCAGAGGCTAACAAAATATATGTCGGAATAATTTACCATGCAGATCGGGTGAAATAAATAGAGCTCCAATAGTGTATCAGTGGGGTGGCCAGTGCTGGGGAAGATATTACAGAAGGGAAGATCTTCAAGAGGAACACTGCATGAATGAATGAGTGGTCAGAAGCCTTGAAGAACAACAAGATAAGCTAATACTCAGTCAAGGTCAACCTAAACTTCTAATATTAGAAAAATAAAATGAGGCAAACATGAGACAGTGCATGCATAAAGTTACAATCTATTTAGATATTATAGGAACTTTTGTGCCTGAATTTAAATAGCATGTTTCTTCCTTAATGTGATTAATACAGGGCAATTGCAATTATAAAGGCTGATGGTTTTGTTATATACTGACACAGATGATGCTTTATAGGAAAATGTGACTTAGGGTCTTATTAAGCCATGAAAGTTCCACCTCTGAGAGAGCCCATCATAAATTCTGAGAGAACTTTGGTTGGCCTAAAGACCCAGGCTTCACTTTATTCTTGAGGGAACTCTAGCCTCTCTCAAGTTTTCCCAAATGGTTCTGGGAATACCCTCTGGGTTTTTTTCCATTGTAGCACATATCACAATAAATTAAAATTGTGCATTTCTGTGCCATTTCCCATTATACTTAAGGTCTTTGATGGAGAAGTGTCCTACTCAAGTTCTTTTTTATTCAGACCCTACATCCAACTAATGACAAGGTTCTATCCTCTCTACTACTAAAACATATCTCTGTCCCAACTCCCTCTGACCAATTTCAATACTACAATCCTACCACACGGTCTCATCATCTTTTGTTTGGATTCATACGATAGTCACCAAAGTGGCCTTCTTGATTCTGCTCCCATCCCACTACAGTCTACCCTACTGAGTGCAGCCAGAGCAATGTTTGTTTCTAAAACTTATATTCAAGTCATTTTCCTTAATAATTCCTTCAAATAACTTCCAATGGAAAGGATGACAAAAGCCAGTCCCTTTACCCAATGATTTCTTTTCATATTTCCGTAGGTCGTACACTTTACGGAGAATATCTTCCATTCTCTTTCTTGAACATTCTACATTTATTCCCACCCAGGGTCTTTGCCTTTGGATGCCTTTCTGTTTGGATTCTCTGCTCCAAGGTCTCTGCATGGCTACCTGTTTGTAGTCACTCAGGTCTCAACTCAAATTTCACCCTCTCAGAGAGATCTTCTTTGACTCTTTAGATAAAGGTGCCTAACCTCCCCCAGTCACTCATTCTCACATTTCCCTACTTTACCTTTTTCATAGCACGTTTTAGTGTCAGAACTATCATATTCAGGGTTGCCTGGGTGGCTGAGTTCATTAAGTATCCGACTTCGGCTCAGGTAATGATTTCATGGTTCATGGGTTCAAGCCTTGTGTTGGGCTCTGTGCTGACAGCTCAGAGCCTGCTTCAGATTCTGTGTCTCCCTCTCTCTCTGCCCCTCCCCAACTCATGCATGCTCTCTCTGTCTCTCAAAAATAAATACACATTTTTTAAAAATTGAAAAAAACAAACTATTATATCAGTTAATGTATTTATTGTCTACCCCACTTGAAGATAAACTGCTTGAGAACAGAGACTTTATCCCATTCATTACTATATTCTCAGTTCTTGGACCTGTGCCTGATAAACAGTTGGTGATTAATAAATATTTTGAGTGAGTGGTAGAGAGTTTGTCTTCTTAACCACTCTTCCTCCAATGCCTCACACCATATACATTTTAGATACATAAGAAATACTCATTGATCAAATTAGCGTTTTCTCTGAGAATAATCTGCTTGACAATTATTTGGTGCTATGGGTTGAATTATGCTCCCCGAAAGATACGTTCATTTCCTAAGCCCTGGTGCCTGTGAATGTGATCTTACTTGGAAACAATGTCTTTGCTGATGTAATCAAGTTAATACAAGGTCATTCTCTATTAAGTTGGCCCTTAAGCCTAGTGTCCTTATAAAAACAGAAGAGATACAGAGACAGACATGAACAGAAGGAATAATACCATGTGACAGTGGAGGCAGAGATTGGACTGGTGTGTGTGCAAGCCAAGGATTGCTGGTAACACCAGGAGCTAAGAAAAAGCCATAGAACAAACTTGTCCTCAGAGATCTCCAGAAGGAACCAACCTTGCCACAACCTAGAATTTTTACTTCTGGCCTCCAGAAGAGTGAAAGAATAAATTTCTGTTGTTTTAAGCCATGCAGTTTGTGATACTTTGTTAGGGAGGCCATAGGAAATTAATATATATGTCAAAAAGAAAAAGGAAAGGTTGGAAAAATGAGTAAGAATTAAAATGTGAGGTACAATTTACCATCTTACATAGGAAATGTACGAAAATGTTCCAGTTTTCATTATTTACTAGACATGTAACTATAAGTATACATTTTAATCTCTCTGAGCCTGTTTTCTTGTTTATAAAATGTGCTTTATAACGCCCATCCTATAGTGTTACGATATTAATATAGTTAACATATGTAATCCCTCAGAACAGTGTCTAGTATATAGTGAATATTCAAAAACTATTAGCCATTACTCTTCCTTAGGGGCTGAAAGTGTAACAGTGAGTAGAGACAGGTTCCATAGCCATGAGCTACATAAATTCTGCTCATTACGCGGCAACTCATTCCTCCAGCAAAGATTACTTTGAGTTCCAAGTATTGTACTATTCTCTGTGTTCCAGTGCCAGGTTGAGCTCTTCAGCAGCATTCCCATAGAATCATCTCCTTGAGGATTAAGGAATCTGGAGTCAGATTTCAGCCTAATAGAAGGTTCAACATAATATGAGTTATTTCTTTCTAAATGTAGACAGAAATACACATGAGGTACTGACTTGCCTGAATTTGTGTGATCATTCCCCAGGAGGCTGTAGATGAGATTCATATAGATCTGGTAAAACAGGTGCATTGCCATGTGTGGTGGATACTGCAATACACTGTCCAGGGCCACTTTCAGAACTTAGAGCACGATTCCTCATCAGCTGCCAGTGTATCTGGTCATCAGTCCATTCTGGAACCTGCTTTTGTCTGAAGAGCTAACTCACCTAAAGCTACACCCTCTTCCTGAGGCAGTGCAGATCCAAAATTGGCTGTTGTAGAGGTAAATAAGACTCAGTCTCTTCTCCCCAAGTCAGGACAATTCTGAAGGATCATCTCACTTTCGAGTTCCCAATAAGATCAGCCAAGAACTTTCCTGAGTCAGATCAAGGTGACCTCTTCCCTCTGCCCAATCTTATTTTCATCTCATTGTCCAGAGATCTTGAACTCATGAGCACTCCCTATAGCCTTCTTATATTTAAATCTCAATCTTCTTCAGGAGGAACCCAACTTATTACACCATCTGAAGCAAACCAACCAATCTCATACAAATTAATTAGCTTACATGGACTTTTAGA